CCGCGGCTCCGTGACACCTAAGCACGGGATGGCACCCAGGCTGGCAAGGCGGGGCCAGGCGCTCCGGTCTCCCCCGAATCACAAGTCCCTTTTCCTTTGGTACCCATAGGCACAGCGGGGTGAAACCCCGGAGTGGGCGGCCCCGGGGGCAGGGGCTGTGTGCCTACAGCTCATCAGCTGGGCTGTGGGTGAGCGGAGCCTGCTCCTGGACCCCCTCCAGGGCCTCCCCTGTGTCCGGAAGGCTGGCAGCTCCCTCACGCTCATCCTTCTGGCCCTTTTTCTTCTTCTTCCCACTCTTTTTTTTGCTCTGCTTCTCCCCCACGCTTGCCAAATCACCTTTCTTGCCAGTCCACTTCTCTGCCAGGCAGCCTAGGGAAAAGAGAAGAGAGGGGCAGAGGGGGCTCTGATGGAGCTTTAGCTCCCATGCTTTAGCAAGGCTCCCCTACCCTCACAAGCATTCCTGCATTATTTCAGCCCCTGGCAGCAGCCAGGACTTACTTGTGTCTTTTCCTTTTAGCACGTGGTTGGCACAGAGAAACTGGGAGAGGTCCTCTGTCTGGTGGTGCCTGTACCAATCTTCTATCACATCTTCATACTCCTCTACCAGCACATCACACTACGGCAGAGAGGATAGCTCAGCTCCAGGCATATGCTGGCGTGTAGCAGGACCAGGACCAGGCTCCTGCCACAGGTCCTGCCAATATCCTGCTCCCAGCAGCGCACCCCTGGATGCTCTCCCCCCACCACTCCAGCCTAAAAGGTCATAGCAGCCACCGAGGGCCAGTCCCATGGGGCAGGGTACCTGCTTTTTGAGGTCAGCCACCTCAGCGGAGGTCTCGTTCCACAGCTCGTAGGGGATGTCCATCACCACCTTGACACCCTTGTGCACCAGATTGTGCAGGGTCTCGAACGTCTCTGACATGCCCTGAGGGAGGGAGCAGCACTGCCTGGTGAGGTGGTGCTCCTCCTGCAGGGCTCCCACTCTCCTCCCCGTGTCAACCACAACCCTGCCCAGCCGTGCAGGAATGTGCAAGCCAGATCCCTGGGACATCAGTGTTATGGGGGGGAATTCAAGTGGCAGCGAGTCCCCGTCTGCAAACCTGGTCCCAAACCCAAGAGGAAGACAGCCCCTGGTTCCCTCCATGCAGGCAGGAGCCTGCCCACTGCCACCAAAGACAGCACATCTGACTTGGGGGCAGCGTGGTCTCGCATGCCAGGCACTAGAAGGGAATCCAGAGGATGGGAAGAATGAACCTGGTTTGGCACTCTGGCAGTGAAGGGATGGGTGAGGCATATTTGGGAGCAGGAACTGAAGGAACAGCTGTCACCTTTGCGAATCTGTTACTGCCGCTCCTCTCCTTGTGCAGGTTGTAATCCAACAGCCTCTTGCAGATGTTCTCTGTCACCTCAATTAACCGGATGTCCCTGCATGGAGACGAGGAAGGGCTCAGGCTTGGTGTGGGCCTCCAGCAACAGCCAGGGCACAGGGTGAGCCTCCCAAAGCCTCCAGCTCTGGAGGCAGTGACAGCAACAGGAGATTCCCATGCCACTCCCACTTACGACTGTGTGTACTTGACAGCAGAGCCCTTCCCATCCAGGAAGCCGTACTTGGTGTCAATCACCTCCTTGGTCTTGCCAGTCTCCTCGAAGGCGGATTTCAGCTCCACGGCTACATACTTGCACACTGTGGGAAGGAGAGAGCACAAATGGTTTAGGGGGTGTCACTGTTCTGACAGGCAGCATGACCAGAGCACCTGGGACAGCAGCAAGAACCAGCCCCAGGAACTGGGCACACCAAAGCTGCCGTGAGCACAAAACACATCTCGGCCATCCAAAGAAGTAACCAGGAATGGCTCAGCTGCTTCCACTGGAGAACGCTTGAAGCAGGAGCACCCAAACCAATGCTTCTGTGTAAACCAGCTGCTGTGGCACAGCTGGGAAGTCACACAGGCTCAGTTCTGCCTGCAGCTTTCCCCCCAAAAGCCTCTACTTCCCTGCCACTTCTCCCTTTTGGAAGAGCATGGCAGCTTTTTGCAATGCAAGTCCCAGTGTAGCTCAGCTTCTCCTCGTGATGACAGCACGTTCCACCTGGTGCTCTCACTGCTCTGGGGACATTGGGGCTGTGCTGGGGACTGAGCAGCTGGCAGGGCTCGGTGGCCTGGGTGACAGGACAGGGTGCTGGCTGTGAGCTCCAGCAACACAACCTGGGGCTCTGCCTGCAGCAGAGACCATATCATCAACAGATTTAGAACACAGTGCATGGTTATTTTTATAAAACTAAAAAAAAAAAAAGCTTTATTTCTTCTCTAAAAAGAGCCAAACACAGTTATAGAAGCACACAGCAGGAGAAATATCTCAGGGGTTTACAAGTGGGAATGGGGAGGGATGGAAGCCAGGCATGGGCCATTCCTGCCCCAAAGATGGGATCTCAGGAGACTGGAGAAATCTTTGTCCAGTGCTGTTGGGTCCTGTTTGTCAGGAGCCACCTCTTCTTCGAGCTCCACTTTAAGAGAAGGACCAAACTCCAGCAGGAATGGTCTGACAGCAATGAGCCACTGTCTTCTCCCAGGCAATTATGTGAGTTGAGAGACGACCGAGGAGGAAGAGAGCGCGGTGGCTTCCCCAGAGCTCCTGCACACGTGTTGATAAGTCCTGTGCACACCTCCTGCACGATCCTGTCTCTGCTGGCACCAGGGGCTAGAGACGACTGGGCCATTTCTCAGGTGAGATGATTGTTCCTTCCCGCAGCCTCTTGGAACTCGGGCCTCAAGGATGTCCCCCTCCACACCACACCTGCTGCTGGTGTGCTGCACCACACACAGGCCAGGAGTGCTTGCTGCCGAGTCCCGTTATCCAGACCCTTCCTGCAGCTTTTCCTGTGCACTGACAGATTCCAAGCCCAGGCAGGAAGAAGAGCAGAGTGTGGTCAGTGTTTGTGCTGATGCTTCTCTGAGGCTACGCTGATGCCACAGCAGAACTCGGACATCAGCATCCCCAGAGCTGCTTCCCCAGCAGGGAAAGCTTTGTAAAGAACTCCCTATTTTATTTTTTTTTTAATTTTCTCTTTGCTGTCCAGCTCCACGTGCGCTTGCACAGCAAAGATAGAGGAAACCGCACCAGGCAGCAAATGTCCGTCATGATCTACCCTGGATTGCCTGTGAACCAAAGGGATACTCAGATTGGAGGCATCACGGAGACCGAACTGTAAGTAGCACACGCGACCAGTCCCAGTTACGAACCGGCAGGCGATCAAGTGACTGCCGGGAACAGCGGTGCCCGCGGGCAGGAGGCGGGCAGAGGGGCAGCCCG